GTCTGGCTTGAGTTGGGCAGGAGGCAGTTGAGGAGAGTGCCACACAAAGTTAACGGTATCAAAGATCCAGAGATCTGATAGGTACTTTGTCTGATTTGAAGTGTCCTGGAAACCACCAAAAAGGATAATGTACTGCTTCCAGTACGTCATTCGATGGCCACTTCGAGCTGAAGGGCTTTTGTCCTTACCCTTGCTCTCAATCTTCGTCCACTCCCTCGTTGCAGGCTCCAGCCTCCAGAAATCCGAGTAGTGATGAAATGTGCCCTGCTTTGGCGAAGAGAACTCGCCGCCAAAGAGATAGACATGGTTCGGGTTTCCAGCTCTGGTCCAGGCATGACCAGATCGTGGGAGTGGAGCGTTGGGTGAAGTTACACATCGCCACTCATCTCTGTTAATATTATAGATATTTAGATCGTTGAAGAACTGAGCGAGAGAGCCATTGAAGTATTCACCACCAAAGAGTAGTAAAGTATTGCTATCATGAGGTGAAGCCATCAAAGTTGAGGCAGCTCTCGCTCTCGGAGGTGCATCAATTACCGTCTCAGTGATCTTGAGGAATTGCTCCTGTTGTCTTCGGTACTCTTCCAGCACCTCATCAAGATCAATATCTTCGGCATCACTTCCTTCAACCTTGGCCGCCTTATTCTTGGCCTTCTTTTCACCCTTATTGGCCTGCTTGGCTGCTTTCTCAGCCTAATCCTGATCATTAGTCAAACGTTCAACATGGATGCATAGAGGGGCAGTCATATTTGGAGGGGTAACTGATGGAGGGGCAAAGACACAGGTAGACGTGGTAGCACAGAATATGACGGCACCTTTTTTGCCTTTTTGGCGTCAGCGTTCTTCTTTTTATCTTTGGCCATGATGATAAAAAGTATTTGGCACTGTAGGACAAGTTGTCAAGTTTGGGCTCCAATGCGAAAATTCCTGCGTGTGGATGGGGTTCCTACAGGTTTTGATCAAGTCAAATCCAACCATTCAGAGTACAGTGTCAATTACATAATATCTACTGTACACCGATCATCTAGCTACCTATGCAATTTGAATGAGCTAAATGATACACGCTTGAACGATACACCGACGTTCCTGATGCCTGAGCTGCAAATCATATTACTATGCCGTTGAATAGGCGAGGTATGGTATCAAACAGATAAATGTGGTTGCCCCCCAACAGCAGCATGATCTCGTCAACCAAAGAAATGCCTGAGACTTTTAGCAACACCCTTCCTCAGGTACAGGCTGGTTCCATTGGTATGCGAGTCGCGACAGTGATATATTCAAGAGGGCGTCTTTCACTGGCGGGCCTTTGAGTATTTCCCTGGAAGGTAAGCTACCAGGGCCTTGCTGGCACCCTCCATACAGTATTGAACAACCTCAACTTTCCTATCAGGAGGTGCTAGCCGAGCGATTTGTCGAATATCGCTCGTCCGCGGTAGAAACAACGCGTGATCCAGCCTGTTGTATGCAGTGTGTAAATCGTCGAGATTATACGGCTGCATGTTGTAAAGATTAAATACTTCATCAGTGCGGTATCCAGGGCCGCCCCAAGGTGGACTCGCAAAAAGTACTGTTTCGTCAAGGCTTACTCTTAGATTTGGGTGCAGTTCTTCTGCATGATTGAATAACTTGTCGAGGTACTCGAAGCTATCACCGAGAACCCACGTAATTAGCCCCGGCGCGATACCATAGACCATGGCGTTGTTCTGGGCACAGGCCAAGGTTGAAGGGTCGCGTTCGATAGAGATAACGCGACTCCATCGTTCAGAAAGAGCAAAGGCAATACTGTTACCCCCTGCGCCACCAAAGACATCGATCAGGATATGCTTCTTTTGGTCGGTACCGTACATATCATGGGCAACTTGGCTAGATTAGAGTTAGCAGAGTCTTGAGGAGGTATAAAGATTGTATACTCACTTTGCTACTGGCTCGGGCGTTACACCAAACCAGGCATCGTCCGTCATGTAAACTCCATAGTCATACAATGAGAAGATCGAATAGCGCTGTGCAAAGTACCTGACCATATTAGCGAGATCGAGAGAAGTGAATTAGTCAATAGTTGCTCACTTTTGAATATCCCATGGCACCTCATGCTTTCCTTGATAGTGGTGACAGGCATCAGTAAGATCCAGCTCTTCAGCGGGCCTGATAGAGTACTCGGAGTCGTCCAGCGACATTTCTACCCCTGAACTGCTCATCTCTTGATCGGAGGTATAGTACGAGTAAGTTTTGTGTTAACTGCTAGCAGCCATTCTTTGTCAAAAATTGAAATATTGACTTGCCTTGCGCAAGTCGAAGAGAGCTCAAAGGTTGAAATTGAGCACGAGGCTGAGGATGAGCTCCCCACAGTATGCCCCACATAGAGACTAGTGGGCTTGGCACAGACGCCATCGCTGCAAGGCTGCCACTGTAATAGTGACAGCTTGCGATTGCTCGACCTGCCCTTGACATGCTTCCATCTGATACAGTACCTACTTAACACATCAACCCCTTTTGATCCCCAGCAATAGGCACACACGCACGGATCTAGAGAAAAAGTCACTGAAGCAATGTTTAATGCGCTAAACCGCTTCATCTCGCGCCTGGACGGAGACGTCCAGCAGCAGAGGCAACAAGAGCGAGGCTCCTTCGGCTTCCAGGTGCTGCGCAATACCAACCTGGAGCTTGCTATCGAACCTTGGTTCGACTTTATTGTTGGAATCAATGGTAGACCTATTGTACGTCGGCTCATTCTAGGTACTCTAAACTCCTTATCACTAACAACTAGCCCAGGAGGACCCCGAACCAGCCTTGTTCAGCCAGGAAGTGAGAAACTGCGCGGGCAGCACAGTTACCCTGGGATTATGGAATGCAAAAGTAAACTATTAACTTTGTGACTCCTTAACTCTCCTACTGACAACAATTAGGGCCAAAGGACGAGAGAAATCCATGCTCCTGTTGCATTGGACACTGCATCCCTCGGTCTTTCGCTCCAATACGCTCCGCTGGCCCTTGCTGCCAACATCTGGCACGTTCTCGATGTCCCCGCCAACTCCCCCGCCGATGCCGCCGGTCTTCTGCCATACAGTGACTATATCCTCGGTAGCCCTGAGGGTGCGTTATATGGCGAGGGTGGCCTGGGCGAGCTCGTCGAGGACTTCATCGGACGGCCGATGCGAATCTGGGTCTACAACAACGAATATAATGTCACCAGAGAAGTCACAATACAGCCTAGCAGGGATTGGGGTGGCCAAGGAGCGCTGGGTTGCGTGCTTGGATACGGAGCCCTTCACAGGATACCTCCTCCTCTGAGCGAGCCCGTTGATGCCCCTGGGGAGACAATGTTCGACGGAGCCACCAATGAGAAGAGTGAGGACGCATTTGCTCCTGCGATAGGTGGTTCGGAGCCCGCCCCTCCTACAGGAGACTTTTTGGTGCCTGCACAAATGATAGGTGATACTCCGGTGAGTGCACCGCCGAGGGGAGCTGGGAAGAAGAAGGAACGCCATAGTCACAATCCCAACAGGCTGATGGATGACTACTTCAAAGAGGAGGAAGAGAAAAGTCGCGCTGTGGACAATGCGCCTTCGGCTAGGAACTCACCAGCCCCTCCCCCACCCAAAGGCGGTCCTCCAAGGGACTCACCAAAGCCGGAGACTCATGCCAGTGGCGGTGAAGCAGAATGATATTATGGCAAGATAGCACATGTGAATGACTCCCCTTGCTGATTGTTCTATTTCCCGATCTATTGATCAAACTTTTAAAGAATTTCGTGATTTGCCGTCTTTTATTGTACATTGCCTGATGGGTCCGACGTAGCCCTCAAGAGGTCCCTATTCCACCACGGTCACAATACTCAACTGGCCGTCTAGTTAATGAAGTTAATGGCGAAGAAATGCAGGATCAAGCTGCAGACGATGTAGTCGGCGAAAGCTCTGAAGAGGGTCAGTATAGGGCCTCCTCATAAACACGAGTTCGACAAACCTTTCAGGGGATACTGAAGGGCAATCGTTCTTGACAGCCTCGTTTGTTTGAAGTCGTAGCGAAGCTGGATATCATTAGCTATAATCTTTCGAGGTGGTCGGTGGTCGGTCGTCGTAACATACCAGTCAAGACGAACTGCCCAACTGTCACACAGAAGCCGGAGAGGAAAGCGTTGAAGGGCTAAGAAACATTAGCAATCAATAAACTATTGCAGATTCACAGAGAAAGACGCACGAAGGTGCCAGCGAGGGCGCAGTTGATGAATTGGAGAACACCAACGACAACAAGGAAGACCATAAAAGCATCAACCAACTTGATGCGCTGAGGAGTATTGTTGACGTAGTGATTGTATAGGTTCTGGACTACCTTGTCCCACTGAACTTCGCCCTTGATTTCGTTCTTGGCGATAGCGACGGGCTTGGGTTGAGTCTGAGGAGGAACTGAACCAGCGCTGGTGGTGCTGGCCTGAGTGGTAGCAGCGGCCGAGGGGGTGATATCGCGGACGTTCTTCTTAGCCGCCATTGTTGTGATTGGGTGAGTTGGACTGTTTGTTCAGTGTAGGCGTTTCTTTCGATATTATGAGGCTTTGGTGATGGTTGATTCGTAGTGTTTGATGTCGGTGTCGGTGGATTTGGTTAGTTTAAGGTAATAGTTCAAAGTGCAGTAGGAGAGCTTCCTCTGGACACGAAAGCTCCAAGGTGAATGAAAGGTGATTGGTTCACGAAAAGCCAAGAATCCGGGGGTTAGACCCACGCTCACCATAAACTGTGAGGTACGTACCGCCGAACATGTCGTCAACGGCCGAGAGCTCCGCAGCTTCATCTCAGACATAAAAGAACAAGTTGCTGTTTCGTCTTGAAAATCTACAAAATTACATTGAGAGACCAGACAGTAAGGATACAAGAGATACAATGGCGAGTCATGAGCCTTATAACAACCTTGACCAGCTCGTTGGCTAACAGGTTTAGGCCACTATCAATTACCACGATCTTGAGCTTCCCGCCTACATCTTAGGTGCTCTGACCGCGGGAGGTGGTATCATGGGATACGCGCGCACAAGATCTGTTCCTTCAATCGTTGCTGGCTGTGCTGTTGGATTCTTATGTAAGTCCCAATATTATCTCCCTTGTATTCACCGTAGCGTGTCAACGTGTTAACAACTTGCTTGTAGATGCTCTTGGCGGCTATCGCATTCAGAATGAGCAGCCTTATGGAGTCGAGCTTGGTCTTTTAGCCTCCGTCGTTCTTGGGGGATCTGCTTTCCCCCGAGCCCTTCGTCTGAGGAAACCGGTTCCAATTCTTCTCAGTGTCATTTCGGCATTTGGCCTCTTCACCTACGGTTCTGCTCTTCGAAGGAGAGCCTAAGACAGCTGTCAGATGATGATAGCTTAGTCAAAGTATGGTACGATGCAATAAAGCCACTTGTTCTGGATCAGTGGACTAAAAGGCTTCAAAACAGAATATGCGGCCCACGAAACACACATAGTTGAACATTACGTGCCTAAGGGATGCGGGATACTCCTCAGAGTAAATTAAGGTGGTAAAAAATACTTAGTCTAAGATCCTCTAAATCTATACTAAATTACCTATACTAAGTTTACCTAAGTTTACCTAATGACTTTTGTCACCTATAATAAAGGTCCTACACTGTTTAAGCCTTTGTATGGAAGTTAAAAGCTCGATGGCCTTGCAAGGCTGACGGGAAGGGAAAAATAATAATAATAATAATAAAGGTCCTAAGGTTTATTATATCCCCTTGATAGACAATATTGTAATACTGTACGTAATTTACAATACATATTATCCTGATTGATGATGAATCTCAACGTCTTTACACAAGTTTAGTTTCAAGAAGTGATCGTGATATAGCAACATGCACTTCATGGCGACTAAGAGCAACCTGGTAACTGAAGTAGGATCGTATTAACACTTATACACTGTCACAATCTCATGCTTCATTGTCATGAAATCATCGCCTAGAACGCCAGCCCCAATGTTTCTAGTATACAGGTCGAATACAGCCCATCGTCAATGGATTCGCTTCGTGTCGAATTCGGGTCGTTGGCGTCGTATCGTGAGGTGTGTCCATATCACAGTCCCAATTCCCGCTGCTGCTCCCGGATTTTGTCGCGCTTTGCCCGAGCAGCATTTCGATTCTCGGCCTGCATCTTTGATCGTTCGATCTTTAAGCATTCATTGACCTTCTCTTTGGCGTCGTTGCAGCTTCCCACAGCCTTGTGCATGAAGCCTTGGCTATGGCACTGTTCGAGAGCAGCGATGACCTCTTCGCACGCTGTGAATGGAGTTAGCGCGCGGTGGCGATAAAGCGCTCAATGGACTTACCCAGAGCGTTCTTTGTGTGAAGATGAGGATGCATGATGATGTTGATATACAGGATAGAGTTGGAGGACCCTGAAAGAAATACAGTGATCGCCACATGCTGAGATGGAATATTGGGTCGGAGTGCACGGACCAGGCGGGAGGCTCCATGGGATTTGGAGGGGCATTGATTGTATTTGCGTTGGCTACCTGCTATTTCCATACAAGACCACGTCTATTGATACTCAACCGACAGAGAGAAGCAATATATCGGAACACTTTGAGTCCTTCGAGAAAGATGTCTTCAACAGCTCAAGTACCTGCTAGGAAGCAGCAAGGTTAGCACAACCCCTCTTCTGACACATCTCATGACGCTGCCTCTTACTCACGGTGTCTAGATCTTCAAGTCACCTACTCCAACTACAAGAACACTCTTCAGCAAATAGCTCAGAGAATTGGTGACATTGAGCAAGAAGCCGAGGAGCATAAGTAAGTTGTTTACTCTTCACTATTGTCTTCACCGTCATTCAAGCAGATTGAGCATGGTGTCGGCTTGTCAAACTCCTCCTGCAACAGAATGTTACCGCATGTCGAACCACTGATTCTGATTTAATCTTCAACAGGCTTGTTTTGGAGACACTAGAGCCCCTTTCAGAAGACAGAAAGTGTTTCCGTCTCATCAACGGTGTGCTTGTTGAAAGGACGGTTAAGGATGTAGTACCAGCCCTCAAGACCAACCAAGAAGGGCTTCGCAAGGTGCTGGATGATTTGGTGAAGCAATACAAGACCAAGCAGGATGATCTTGAGAAGTGGAAGGTAAGAGAAAATTTGAAATGATTTCAAATCTTGGTGTAAGAATACAGCCAATACTAATGATTCTACAGAAGAAGAACAATGTGCAGGTTGTACAGCAATAATGAGACTACGAGGACAGAATGAAACAAAAGGCTTGCATTAGTGCCACAGAGGGATTAATTTTGAGAATTACCAGAGAATTGCATGATTGCAATTTATTAGATATGCCACTTATGAACACGGCCTCATACGACAGAGCTTGCAACAACGCCATTGCGCCTCAAAATCCCCTTCTCTCTACAGATGCCACTCCATCGGACCTCCCGATGTTTCTGCTCCAGCCTCATTTGGACGCGGATAAGACGGACGGACTTCCATAGCCTGCTTGCGTTCCAAATATCTGCCTTTCAGGCTGAACGAGCCCCGGGGTGCAAGAAGACTTCTGATATTGAACTAGGGTGCTAAAAATACTTGGTCTAAGATTCTCTAAATCTATACTAAATTATGCTAAGTTTACCTAAGGCTTTTTGTCACCTGGGATAGATGTCCTAAGTTTTATTGCGTCCCCTTGACAAGTAACACGACGGAAGAAATGGAAAGATGGTGTTGATGCGTTGTACACTTGCTACGCACTGTGGGGTTATGGCGGCAAAAGCGTCTGCATGCCCAACCGCAATGAGGCCCCAGAAGCATCAGAGTTTTTGACATGCAGGACGTCAAACACACAATGCAATGTAATGCAACGCAAGACCTAGACAACGGGCATGTGTTTGTATGGACAGAAACACCCCGATTGACGAGGCTTGCCCACCGGCTGCATTAACTGGCCATATGTACCTTCGTGTCGGACCACTGCTGATGATGGTGATACCTTGTGAGGAGAAAAATGAGGAAATTTCCGCACACTCAATCTGTCTGAAACTCGTGACTTTTGCGAGAGTTACATCAAATTCCATGCCTCAACTGAAGACGTGTGCATCAAGGCGAACTGCATGGGAATGAGAAAGCCAAAGGATGACAAAGATAGTATGATGGACAGCTGGCGTCTTCCATGTGTATGCAACGTCAATCAAAGTTACATGTCTGATTGATCTTCACCGAGATCTGAAAAGAGTCTGATCGATATGGGGCAGCCTAGCCATGAACTGCAAGTCATCAGTTGCTGCCTTCACCCCGACAGCTCTCCACCATTGTCAAGAGTAGCAGCATCATCATGGCCTTGTGGGGGCTAGTGCATTCCTCTGGCGCAGCAGATCGGTTGTTGACATGCAGAAGCCATAATATGTACTTCTGACTGATTGAAAGGTATTTAGGTATTGCACTTGTGCCCCCTCCTCAAATGGAGGCCCTGCGGCACAGCGGTCGTTTCAAGGCTCTACCAGACGCTTGTCGTTCCGTGAAAATATGATCTCTGGACTGGCTTTAATGAGATCGAGTCCAATCAGACCTGAAGGACAGAATGGCTGATATCAGTGGCTTACTGGTCACGCCTTCACAGCTTTGTTGGTTACCACCGAAAACCGTTGTATCAAAGCGCAATGAACCGAGTCTAGGATCTTCAGGAACTCTTAATCATGGCAGGACGTCAATAAAAGATCTATCACTTTTCGCGGTCATACCAACCAAGTCGTCACTTAACGCACATTGTCGGCTTCACATTGACTGTGCCAGGGGGCGGTCAGCAGGAACTTCGATAAGGCTATCACAGTCGTATATCCTAACTAGATACTGTGAAATATGTTCTGAAGTTGTTTGTGGCTTGGCCAGGATGGATGCGTTGGGTTCCAAACATGAGAAAGCCTTAGCATTTGGCGTGAGCTCCATATTGCTTAGATTGGAAGGTTTTTTCCCCCAAGGTTTCAGAAGCCATGATGAGCTTTGAATTAACTAAAGTTCCAAGTCAACTTGTAGGGAATAATGGCATATGGTGGTAAGCACTCTTTGATTGATACAATCAAGCCGTAACTAAGATGGCCAACACTCCAGTTTGTCGGGTCCTTGCAGGTATTGGACCATGTTTTACAAGGAGGCTGAACTATTTATTGGACTGCAATTTTCGAGCTAGGCTGAGAACTCGTGGCTAAGTTGTTGGCTTGCATCTGAGGCATACGATGCGGAAGCTTACAGATTGCGACGCACAAATGAGGCCGACAATAAGTTACCCCAGCAGCTCAGCCCAAACTGAAACCCTGGCGATGGAAGCGTGGATACAGTTTTGATGGGTGGCTTGATGAAGATGCCATTGTCGAATAAGGAATCAGAGTGGCCCCCCTCTTCCGCTACCGCCCAGGTGGACTTGATCATGACCGGTCAAGTGCCTGATAGTGAGTGAGTGCCTGGACGTCATTTTGAGGAGGCATTGGAGATGGGGTCATATTCGCAGAGATGGATGCGTTTGCTGAGAGAGATATCCTGATCCAACAGCGCTGCAGTAGAAGGCCTCGCTGCAGCGCATCTATAGCAGAGCTGATAATGGGTGTAGCACCGGAATGCCCGTCTCGCACGTTTCCTCGGCCAGTACAGGACAGTAGGTATCACTTTAAACACGGGTTCTTTTTCGTACGATGGTCCCCCAAGCAAAGGTAACTCAGGTGGAAAAGAGTTTGCGACACACCGCCTGGGGCCATGCTCCTGTGTACCCGTGGGAGTGTTTGCAGCAACTTGCCTACCTGCTTTCCTACACAAGCCCAGGGCTTTTGGCTTTAGCGGCTGAAGGAATCAAGGAAGCGAGCAGATGGATGGTCCATCGAGCGAGTATTCCTTGTCCGGGTCAGTCGGATTGATATAGCGGTGTCGAGAGGATCGATAGTCACACAGGAATATGAGCATCTTCTCAGCACTGTGTCTGTAAAGCCTTGGTGTTGCTTTCTTGTGAGGGTTTGCATGGCTAATACACTTCAATGTACTACTGGGCCCTACGCTCGCTGACAGTCAACGCCTTGGTTCTTTATCGATAACGTCTACCTAGTTAATATGGAAGCAGCCTCAGCAATGGAGCCAGGGTCTAAAAGTTAACAGTGCGGGTTGAGTTACCTTAGGTTAGTAGTTAGTTAGTGTGTACCTAGGCTGCTGGGGCCAGGCACGCTTCAGGCTTTCAGCCTTGGCCTTGGGTTTTGTTGTTGGCGTGTCAGGGAAACGAAACATGTCTTCTAACCTCACTTCCACTTCCATCCACCACCACCAAAGCTGACCAAGTTCACCTTGCCCAAATTGATCAATGCAACTTTGACTAATTGGATCGCGTCTTGACC